GGCACACTTCAACTTAGTCCTGTGAGCAGGAGACAGACATGAAACGGACAGCTTTGCTTCTCTCTCTCTCTCTCTTTTTGAGAAAAGGATGCACTGAATTTGTATTTATGGAAATAAATATAGAGACCTGTTACAAATAGGTCAAACAGGTTAATGCTAGCTTATTAGTATAACTGTGCATAGTACAAGACAAACTAAAACACTGCATACGTGTCAAGGGCCACTTTACAGTAGTACTAATGGATTCTCCATCACAGCTAAGATGGAGTTTTGTAACTAGCAAAGGGCGAAAATGGATAATGATGGCTGAAATTTTAAAATGAATGATAAATGCTGATCTACTAAATTCTCACACACCCTTGACCATCATGGCCTCATATCAAAATGCTTTATTTTTATAAAAGCATTTAATTGAGCCATCATACAGTTCTCAAGCACTTAAAAAGAAACAGATGACACAGCAAGTATCACCAAATCATCAATGAGTGAGTATACTAGTTTACTTATTTGTCCTAAAAATATTTTTTTTTTACTGGAGAATGCCTTATTATATCTGTGATACAGTAAATAAACTAAAGTAGCATCAAAAGTTGTGTGTGTCACTAAAATACAGATTCAATACAATAATAAAAAATATGTATAAAAGGGGGAAAAAAGACAAATAATTACTCAAAGTAAAAAAAATGAAAGCACTATAAATATACCGTACCGTATACCGTATTGAAAGAAGATAAGTATTTCTTTTCTGCCCTGAAAACTGTGCTGTATGAAGCAATGCACATCCAAACACATTCCTCAAGTTATCAGCATTTTTGTCTAAATATATACAATGATTTTATTTTAATGGGTTCTATATGAATACTGGTGTAGGATAAGATAAGTTATAATATATGTATTATTTCGTTTTCTTGATAAGATATGTACTATTCATATCTTTTTGTAAGGTTCGAAATAATGTTTTCATACTTACAATCTTTCCTCTGATTTTAAGTAATCAAGCAATATTTCTTCCAGCTCATGTCTCCTCCTCTCACTAAATACAGAGAAAAAAAACCAATAAATCAATCTTAATACACCTGCAGCTTTCAGAGCTCATGTGTAGCATTTAAACCATTTTTATTAAATATATAGCTTAAATAACGTTAGATCTTATTAAATAACAAGTTAAAACCAGGGAGGTTAACACATATACTAACTTTATAATACGGCATTCACCTTTAAATATAACTTTTTCTCACAAAAAAAAGAGAGCGAACAAATATTGTGATATACTAAACACAATAATCTGTGAAGGCCAAGTTAATTTTCGAACTTATTTAATGCTGAAAAAAGACAGACGAGTAAACATATGCCATACTAATTAGGGATGTAACGGTATGAACATTTCATATCACGATTATAGTGACCAAAGTTATCACGATTATCAATACTATCACGGTTTTGTTAAAATTAGATGAAAAGATTCAAAAAGAACTGATACACACACTGAAAACATTTCAATAAGTTTTATATTTGAAAATCAACAAACAACAAATACAATTAGCAGCTATATGCACTTTTTTTAGCATAAACATTAAATTAACATTAATATGCAGCCCTAATAATAATAATAATAAATCACTTATATATATAATTGATCTCACTACCGCACACACATTATTAATAAAGTATTTCTTATTTTAAAAGCTATAAGGAATCGCTCAGCGCACTGCCATTGGTTATCGCTCTCGTGCTAACGGAGTTTGAAAGCTACATTTCGGTGAGAGCTGAAATCTACTGCGCTGCCTCATTCAAGGCCCACTTAAATGTCCTAATGTTTATTCGAGACAATACATAATCTAGTGTGTCTAAACTGAAAGCTGCTCTTACCGTTCGTGCATGCTCTTCTGAATATCCCCAATCTGGTCGAAATACTCGGTGTTGCAGAAAGCCATGACTTTAGCTGTTTTGTTCGCTCAGTGTGGCAGGACGCGTTGTTTACAGCGGTTGCCAAACGCACCGTTGCCCTGGAGACCGCGCGCGCGCTGGTTGACTGAAGGGCGCGAATTTCTCTCAGGAGCTGCTACCAGTGTTGGGGAAAGTTACTTTTAAAAGTAATGCATTCCAATATTGCGTTACTCCATAAAAAAGTAACTACTTACGTTACTTAGTTACTTTTTATGGAATGTAATGCGCTGTGTTACTTTTGCGTTACTTTTTAAATCTGGACAGGGCTTGCTTGTTTGTTTTAAAAATAAAAAAGTTCTATTTTTGGCAAATATAAAAGCTTTTCACACCAAAAGTGAAATGAATAAGCCTCAGGCTGAAGGGAAAGTAGATTTACGTCCGTACAGTAGAATGCAGAAGAAGAAATTTCAACACACTACAGCAATAAACAAAAAAAAGACTTTTTTGGTCTTTAGTAATTTTGGTTATTAGTATGGTTGAACTGGATCATCGAAGGCCAGAAGCAAAGATATTGCTTAATAGAATGGGATTAAATACATAAAGCATATTTATGTTGTTTAACATTTAATTATTGCAGGTTTGCGCCATATTCTGAGTTGCGTTATTTTTATTCATTTTGAGGAATACTGAATCTGTTTTGTTTTTTATTTTCTGAGTGAGATGAATTAATGCATACTCATATTTATTTTAGAACTACAGTAGCATCTTCTGATTTCTCAACATTGGGACCAGAGAGCTGTCAATCAATTAATTGGGGAAAAAAAACTTATTTGAAAAAGTAACTCAGATATTCTCTTGTAAATTAAAAAGTAATGCGTTACTTTACTAGTTACTTGAAAAGGTAATCTGATTACGTAACTCGCGTTACTTGTAATGAGTTACCCCCAACACTGCATGCTACACACACATTTTGCTTTAGAATAGGAAGAAACACGGCTGGAACAGGAGTGAAAAGGTACAAATGACGCGTTTTTACTTAAGACATCCACATTAACCAGACATAAAAAGTGCAAACCCCACATTTTACCTCTGAAACGTTATTTAACACGAGACGAAACATACAAATTACCCGTTTTGTCTCA